AAATATATGTTGTCTTATTCTCTTGGGATCACTTAATTATTTTATACTAAATAAACAATGGAAAAAAAGAAGAATTGTAAATTTTAACTACCTATTTGAAAGATATTTATTTGAGAATTTAGAGCAAATGTGGTAATAAAAAAATAAGATAAATGTTGAAACACATTTTTTGTTTTGGATTTTATTAGTTTTAACATCGACAAAACAAGTATGATAAAAGAATACACGATAAAGTTAATTTATGACAATAATATTCAAAACAATGGGTAAAAAAATAAATGTCATATGTAAATGTAAGACTTCAAAATTATAATGCTTTCCAAAATACTCACATTCAGCAAAGGCAAAGAAAAGATTTCAGGCGAGATGAAAAAGCAAACAGTGGATATAAATTTTTCCTTCCAGGTGCCGCAGTTGCTTTATTTTTAGTTTAAAAGTTTGAGACATAATACTTGTCTTGGTTTTGCTGTGAGTGGAGTACTCGGAACTTTATGGTCTTTTTTTAATCTAAGGAGACGGCAGCGATAGGAAAGGGGAAAAGATGGTGGGGGCCTGGGCAAGTCGGTCAATTTAATTCCTGACGATCTGAAAGAGGTCAGGATCATTTCATATAGCCTTGGCTGAACAGATCATTACCAGTCACAAATCTGTTGGTTACATGGCAAGGATTTATTGCTAAGTAAATAGGGAACCGTCATAAGTTCTAAAACTGGCGTGTTGGCCCTGCGATAATAGTTAAAGGACGGTTTAATAGAGTTCGGCATTTATTCGTTATCTGTATGCGGACAGAGACTGAATTGGCACTATCACTCAGTTTTTTTAATAATGTGGTAGGCTACCGTTGCACAATTTTTCCCTTTTCCTTCTGCATGCAACACACACAAATGCTGATAGTGCGCACACACAGGAACAAATGCATACCCATTTTTCACACACRAACACTATATGGAATAGTTTCGATTTCAGTCACAGCAGAAGGCTTGGCCACAAGAGATTGTGCTGGTTTGAGCCGGCATGGACCAGATTTTACAGCCTACAAAGAAAACAGATTACCACTTGTATCGAATTCCGTATTGGATAAAAAAAATCTTTTGTTTGAAAAAAAAATTGCTGATTATCATAACAGAAAAATTGCAGCAGTGCAATTTTGAATACTGGCTGAAATCACAAAAACACAAGAGAAGGAAGTCGCTCATGCAGGAGTAATTATACCCATTTACAATATTCTCTATTTACTGTTGTATATCTCTTGAGCAACACAAGAATCACCCTGAAGAAAAGAAAAAAAAATAAAGCAAGATGGGAAGAAGCACGCAAAAATGCAGCTCAACATTCGTCTTGTATGGTTTTAATAAAGCCTTCACGAGCACTCGCAATCAGTCAGGCAGCACAAATGAGCTGGAACAAGTTTTGTTTGGTATCCATTGACTGATGGCAAAGCTGGGGTGTGGGATGCCAGACCCCCAAAATCACCACATTCACACTGTCGTTTTAAACTTTGGCCTCTCCAATAATGCATTCTTAGTGGGGAGTTATAGCTCAGCTTAGAAAAATAAAGACAGTTTTCACTCTAAAGTGCGTCTTATCACTGCCAACATTTTCAAGGGTAAGAACTCTTCAGAAAAGCATGCAGCTCTGTTTGTTTACTTCATGCGCTACAGATATTGACAATATCTTTTTTTTTTCAGTTCCAGCATTACAGTGAAGTACTATTGACATAGTTGTATGGTGAACAAAAATGATGGATGATCTATTTTTAGGTGCTTCTAAAATTACAGGAGGAAATGTTGAGACATGGATTTCTGCATRGATTTATTTTGGTTTTGGTTGCTTGTTGCTTTAGTGAAAATTAATGCTGGTATTTCTGATTACATTCACAATATTTTGAGTGGGTTGACTGTAGATCTTAAAGATGAAGGAAATATCAACGTCAAAGGAAATCATATGCTGAGAGTGATGTTATATTTTGTTTTGAGGATTTTATTGCAATTTTTAAATAGAAATGTTTTCCTGGACCCTCTTCAGGCTGTTTTACTCTGTTTACCATCAAGTTTGTGATTTAGAATAAAATTAATTCTCTCCTTAAATAATCAGTTAATTACATTCATAATAAATAGACATACTAATGAGCCTAACTTCAGGAAATTAAAACTTTTACTCATTTTTTGTTTGTTCCCGACAAAATCTTCAACTTTACCTTAAGGAAACATCAGATGGGTAACTACTTAATTTATTTTAATGGCCATTATTAATTACAAGTGGGAATATAGTTCTCCAAAGATGTCTGATGTATTACTGAAAAAGCAGGATTTTTTTAGAACAGAAAAACAGTTCATATTTGCATCATATTTGTGATTCTTTATCATCAAAAATGTATATGCTAAGATTCATTTTTTATGTACTGTGGTTGTCCCAAAAATATTCAGCACCGTCTTTGTATACAATATTCGTCTCGTATAGCTTTCTGCATATGATTTGAATGGCATGCACCTTTACGAAAAAGCCACATTAAATATTGACAGTGTATCAGGGTAAATAAACAGAGGTGCAAAAACGGTGCCTCAGCATTTCTATAACTCAGCTCCAAAGATGTACTTTCCTTTTTATCTTTTCTTTTTTCTGAAGAATTGAGCAAAATGCCAAATAAAAATGTTTTTTGCAACATTTTGAACATACTGTAAAAACCATATTCTCCTCATTTTTATCTTTCCTCCTACTGTATTAGCTCCTGTGATGTGACTTTCTTTTTAATGTTAGCTGATGTTTCAAGCAGAGCGATCCAGTCTCTCTCCTTGTTTAATGTGACAGCGGCAGGACTTGATCTCTGTTTGTACAGAAAATTCTGCCTGAGCAGCTTGTTTAGCTTTGTTGAATGCGTTTGTCTTGTGTTTTCTTAACGCTAAACATTTCAACTGATAAATTGTCAAGGTTAATTCTACGATCTAGCCACAGGAATGACTGTCCTGCTGCCATGTTTTTACTTTTGTATCTGCCCTTTACTCTTTCCGCCTTTCTCTCTTTTTCCTGTTTCTGCTATCATGATGTAGTTGATAAAGTTACGTGAAGAGGTAAGTGCTTCCCTTACTGTTTAAATATTTATTCTTTTTCCTTTCTGAAATAAATTCATTTGCATGGCTGAATGCACAACCTAAAGGTCCAATAAGTTCACAATATACTAGTTTTATGTTCCTGCACTCTTAAATATCAGAAAGTGGGGATGAGTTTTTATTTCTGATGCACCTGTTTGAAGACAAACACTTCAAGCCCATCGTAAAGTAAACTCAGTTATTTGGTGCAACACACTGAACTTCTTTGATAAACATAGGAGTGGCACCCTATGAAGTTTTATATGTTTTAACTTTATTTTCATTGGTGCTTTTATTGCGTTTAGCTGTTTGAAACAACCAAACTCAATAAAGATCATCTTTTTCCCATCAACATGAAATGCAGCCGGCCGAGGCAGATGGTTGCCTATCTTTAAGCTAGCTCTGCTGAATTTTTTTTGTCCTGTTCAAAGAAAGTCATTTCTTTCCACTGTCACCAATGTGCTGTGCGGGATGAAGGATTGGTGAAAATTCAGTGCAATCCGATGGCTTCTTAAGACGGGTAACTTTTATTTCTGAATATTTTTGTACGATGCCCTGAGATTAGTTTTATTGTGAATTGACTTAATTGATTCAATTGATGTAAATTTCTCAGGTCCTAATGAAATATCTGACAAACTGTACTTTGGTGAAAAGACAACAATGTGAGCATACCAAAGATTTTCCAGAATGTCTCCAAATTGACTTGAAACTTGGGTAAGGTTCTCAACATCCCTGCCTGAGTTAGTCTTGTTGCTAGTTTTTAAACATGTTGAAAAAAAATTGTGCAATGACTTTTCTCTCGAAATAGTCACAAAGTCATCATGCGCAGGTCTTAAACCTACTTGAATTATGTTGTAGCCACCTCCAGTCTTTTATCCACAAGTTATAAATTATACCACAAGCTATAACTTATACGAGAAGTTATACTTGTTACGATAACTGTTAACCGATATCGTAACCAGTCTCAGTATCGTTCGAGCTAAATTTTGATGAACGGAAGCTCTTCTCTGACAGATAACATCTGAGGCAAGGGTCCAGGTATAAAAGCAATGCTGATGATAAATAATGATTTTGGTAAATCTGGTTTAGATCTTCTTGTCTTAATTTAAAAATTCGACTCTAATAGATCAAATTATAAACACGAGTGCCGGCTGCTGCAACAATGTTTTCTTAACTCTTAAGATCTTTACATTTCCCTTGTTTATTCATCAATCACTGTCAAGTTGTAAAACCTTCATCACATATCAGCTTAATTTAACCAGGGATTCATTTTAAGTGTATTCATCTGTGCTGTCATAACACTTTTATAGAACAATATTAGGAATAAGCGAGTTACTTTATAATAAAACAAAGTATCCATTTATTACAGGACAGGTTTATATGGCAAGTAGGACCTTAGACAAAAAGCAGAAACACCAAGGCTGGCAAAAACATTCACATTGACCTGTCAAAATACAGAGAAATAACATTAAGATGCAAAAATACTCTGACAGATGTGGCTCAAAGTTTCATTATAATTGCAAAAAAATAATAAAAAACATTTGCCAGTACACTTTGAACAACATTTAACTCATCGTATATCCTGATCAGTTGACAAAGCATCTGTCCAGCAAGCTTATACTTATCATTGTCATACAATATTAAATGTTTTCAAAGGCTATTATATTTTTTTAATATATTTTAAGCTAAAAAAGTATTCGTAAGCTATTTTGAAAAGGAAAATGATACACATATTTGCTCATTTGTTGTCAGTGAGTTTAAGTGAGACAATGATATTTCTAAAGATATTTAATGAACTTGTAAACATTTAAAGACACAAGAAAATCTAAGCGTTTCAACATTTATTTTTTACATTTCTTAGCAGTGCTGCCAATGTTGGTTCCTTTGCCATTATGCTTTGCTGTAGTGAAACTTTTAATAACTTTATTGTCATGTAAATAGTGTCCTTGCCCTGGGGTCACCTGGTTTATCAAAATGACAAGTTGGTGTAGTCATTGCACTGTTTTGAATGCATCGTAGTGTTTAATGTTTATAAAAACCCTTWCTGAGAGCAGTGTCCTTGGCTGTTTATAAGGCATGTCGTGGTTCTTGTCCTCGTGTGAACTCCTTATTAGTCTCCTGTAAAGGAATTCTGCACAAACACAGTAATTCAATTCCTTCTTCGTTCCCACCTATCTATAATTTAGAGCACAAATTTGACCCAGATGCCACTTTATCAAGCCTTTTGCTTTAATTTAGCTGTACTTTTATTTTCCCTTCTAGCCTCTCACCTTTTTTGTACATTTCCTCCTAGCCTGAGGGTCATAAGACAGCTTCAGTTATCTCACTTGTCTAGTCTTTCTGGAGTTGTCCAGTCTGTGTAATCAGACTTGATTCATTGCCTTTGTTGCCATTGCTGTCTTTTACCCCACTTCTCTTCCTACATTTGATTCAAAGGCTGGCAAAGCTTATGCACACTTAAGTCTTGCTTTAAAAAAAACACTTTCTTTTCCTTCAGCTGAAAACATGTTTAAATATTTAGCACCCATATTCACAGCTGTTTGACACTTGTAATTCCTCGTCTTACAAGTCCCAAACAAACGGCACAGAAGATCACACAGTCAGTCTGAATCACAGCTGTCATCATTATTCACTTTGACTCTCCCCCCACCCTTATTGAAATAATAAGGAAATCATCTGAACTTTGGAAAATGGTGATAGTAACCGCCTGTGTTTGATATTGAAAAAAGGCAGGAGAACGAAAGAAGAGGGGATAGAGATTTCTTTTGAGCTACAGCTGCATTGTTCTGGGGCTCCCTGTTAATAACTTACAACTGAGGAGTTTTTCTTGACGCAGAAAGAGCACAACAAAAAAACACCATTTTTGTGGTTCCTAAGAAGATCTTTGTTCAAAATGTAGGTGTCAGATGAAAAGGCATACATAGGCAGAAATAGCTGTGGTGGCGGTGGGGTACACCTGTGCGCTCACAGATGCACACTATTTATCATATACTGAATTTAAATGTTTCGCTTGAAGCCTCCTTGAGACACATAAAAATTATTTGATATGATTTTAAAAAAAGGGATAATTGACGGTAAGCTTTAAGTATAAGCTTGCACCTGAGTAAACGTTTTTTGTGTTTATTATTTTGAAGAATACTGATAAAGCTTTGGTATAGTTCTTGCAGTTTAAGAGGTGGAACAAGCTGACAATTGCTGACGTGGATGTTTTAAAGATTTGCTTTCTGTGTCTGTTTTCTTTACAAGATTGTAATTTCTGCTTCTTGCGAGTAAAAATGCTTAGTTTTGTTTGTATGAGTTGACTTTATATTCATGGCTGAATTGTTCAGTTATTAGGGCCATCACAGTGCGCCATTACGGAATTCTCAGAGGCTGAACTCTCACCCTTTCCCTTCAGGTTCTTYCACTGTCAAACTCGGGACACATTATTCTAATGAACACCCATACACATTGCCGTTGCCACCGCTACCCTCCAGCACACCCTCACACCCACCCACTCTCGCCCTGCTTTTCCCCTCCCGGCCCCTAAAAGAAGACAGAACGAGGGAGAGAGGAGACACAGAGARCGAGAGAGAGAGAAAGAGAGAGAGAAATTCAGGAGGAGCAAGCTTTTGAAGTGGCTTTCCATCGCAGCGAGTCTGCCGGCCGTCTCCCCGAGACGTGTCACCTTTGCCGAGAGGGAATAGGAAAATCACGTTTCGAATGGTAATGATAACATACTAATCACTTGAGCTCTTTGAAGAACCCGGGGAGTGCGTCTGCTCTGTCAGTATCCCCGGCTGCTTCATGCTCCCAGGCACACACAGACAGTGGAGCCATGGTCTAGGTGTATTAGCGTAAGCATTGCATGTCAATACGTCCCCTCTATTTCAACTGATCCATTGGGGCTCATTATAGCCCAAGCTTGGTATCCATTTTCTCCCATAAGCACACTGCCACCATGTCTGTTGGTGCCACTACCACCTCCACACCCATATGTAACCCATGTTCAAAGGCCCCCTGCCACACCTTTCACCAAAAGAATCATTCAGTCCCACTCGCCATTGGGTTCCACCTACCGCAAACCCATTTGCTCCTCCATTTCTTCACTCGTTCGTCCTCCTATCCCTCCATCCTCCCATTGCCCTCCCTTTAACTATTAAAACTATCTCTGCAATTTTAAATGACATCTGTCAGCAACTCAAAGAAAAAGGAAAAGAGGGAAGGAAAGGAGTTCAGAGGGAGTTTTCTCTTCCCTGCTCTGTTCCCATCCCTCTTGTTGTCAGACTTTGAAAAGTGTGTCGTTGGTTCTTTTTTTTTCTCCACATTTTTCATTTCCTATGAGTGATTAGCTGGTACACATTTTGACAGCCCAAGCTAGGCTAGAGATTTCAGTTCTTCCCCTGTCCCCTTCGCTCATGTGATGGGCATCAAACCTTGTCAGTAGGGTTTTGTCATTCACGGAGTTGCTTTTTACTGTCAAAAGTGTTCAATTTGATCAGTTTTTTAAACATGGCACATTAGAAAAGCCATCAAAACAAACAACTTTGGAGTAAAAATTGAACTCTTCCATGTTGCCCTCTTCCATGTTGCTGTTTATGATTCTATAKTACTACAGTATATGATGTATGAATTCAATGAAAGCTGGGTTATAATTTCAACTTATACAATTTTTTTTCAGTATAGTGGATAATCAGAGACTATTATGGTTGTTTAAATGTTTGTAATTTAAATAGGTGGTACAAACTTTGAATTTAACAAACACTAACTTAGTTCGCATTAGACATGATAGTTTTGACACCTTGTCAATGTGAATGTTTTCCAGGCAATGTCAATTTAGATGGTTGTGCAAATTTATTTATATATTAATTTATTAATATGTGCCTCAAATGACCTAAGTAAAGGTTTAGTTAATATTTAAAATATATTATCTATTAGCATTACAAAGAATGAGATAAAAGAAATAAAAAAAAGACGTCAGCCATTTTTATTTGGAAAACAAATAAATTAACAGGTTGTGTCACAAATGTTTTAAGGCTTTAGGGAAATACACTTGTATTTTATGTTTTACAATTATCAGTTGTCTTAAAAGRAAAATAAGAACAATCACAAAGCACTCACCAGTTCAGTCCCAATCCAAATAAATGTTCCAGTCACTTAGTGAAAGTTTGACACAAACACTCAWAAAATGTATTGGTGTTTTATTATGATGGAATTGCCATCTTAAAAATAAACCAGTGTGCTGGTTCATTAAATAAATCAGCTTTCTTAACAAGCATTAATGTTACAACAAACTAAACTAAAATCTGAGATTTAACTATAAGAAGCTGCTATTAACTGCCTTTGCTCACAATTTTCCAGTTACTTCAAATCTTGAAAGACACAAAATTCCACTTTGATAAGAATGGATCAAAATGCTTATTTATTCAGTTGTGAAACTTACTGTTTGATGTGATTTTATTGTACWTTTAAAATGTTGTTGATGRCTTTGAAGAAGCTAATGGAACGTGTTGAGTTGTAGTTTTGGTCAACTAATTTGCCACAAAAAAGTTGCAAAAGGTGCTTTTAATGCTCTGGAAAGAGTTTGCACCTGTTATTTATGTACAATTGKGATTTAAATGTATTTGTAAGATCCTAAACATATGTTAAAGTATGCCACTGTATATTTTGTGAAGTAGATGCTGTACACTTCATCGCCCCCTTTTTTCTTCAGGTTGATTTCATTTATTCCGACAGGATTTCACTTCATTTGAAAGCCTTTTAGACTGAATTTTCCTCTCCTTCTTTGTTTACTGCTTTAGTAATTCTCTATGCAGAAAAAATAGTTGTAAAACAATACAACAAAGCTTCATGTAGTTTGTCTTTTTATGTCTAAGATGAGGCAGCGGCACCGTCTTCATTGTCAGCCTCAACCTGCATTTGCTTGATATTCCATCAGCATACAAAACATTGTCATCCATGAAGGTTATTGGCAAGCTGGTTGAATTATGTTGTCACCGTGGATGTGGTCTGTCTGCTTAGGTGACAGTCTTGATGTGTTTCTTTGAAATGGGTCCCAACCCTCACAGTTAATTTTTATTTTCTGTTTGTTTCGAGCATTTCTTATTTTCCCCCCCTTCTGTTTATTGCAGAGAGCACATCTGTTGGACAACACAGAGAAGCTGGAAAGGTCATCCCGAAGACTGGAGGCCGGCTACCAGATAGCAGTAGAGACTGGTACGTGTTCTGTTATGGATTGGGGAGGGGGGCGGGGGACGGAGTCGGGAGGTGGGGGTTCAAGGTAGTGGTGAGGATGAGTGAGCAACAGCAAATTGTCTTGCTCATATGCGCGGTGGGTGGATGTGTGTTTGTGCTCTGTGAGTGTGTATTTGGAGGGTTGGTAGTGTGTGTGTGTGTGTGTGTGTGTGTGTGTGGGGTGGGGGGGACTGTTAAAAAAGAATCTTTCCTTGACGCCTGATGACATTTTCGGGAGCACATCAAAGGTGAGCCAGGAAGGGAGAGGGAGAAGTGTACAGGCGGCATATTGGGTGCTGCTTCTCCAAGCTCAGCTCCTGAAGAAAATTCAAGTGTGTGTGTGTGTGTGTGTGTGTGTGTGTGTGTGTGTGTGTGTGTGTGCGTGTGTGTGTGTGTCTCAGTC